TCATCTGGTAAAATGATGTAATCGTCGGAGTGACTAGGGGGAGAATTTCTTGTAGTACTAGGAAGGATCTCGTCACGATGTGTAGCAAGGATAAAACCTAAAGCAGCTTCAAGTACTGCCGGTGATAGTGAGAGACCATATATGCACCTGCGAGCTGAATATAAGCGACCTGAAGGTGTACGAACAGTTAAAAGTTTGGATAATCTATCTCCTGTATACAAGGACATGAATGCATCAGAAACATCTAAACTGATGATCGAATGCGCGAGACGAAGTTGATGATAGATAAATTCTATTTTAAGTTGTTTGAATATCAACTTACCATATCGATCGAGTAGTTTATTCACTCCTATGCATGGGAAAATGGGTCGTACTCTAGGTTTAGTGATCGGATAGTAGTTTGTGCTGGTACACTGTGGATAATCTTGTAACTCAGCGGATGGTATTTCTACGAGTTTCTCATTCTCGACAAATTGATGAACGAGTTTATCACATTCGAGTTGAACAGTAGAATCTGCAGATTGATAGTTCTTGTGAGTCTTGACAACTATCTGTTTCTGCTTGAATGCATCATCCAGTACAGTCTGACTTACCTCAGCGCAGAATACATACTTTGTTGAGGAGTGCTCAGATGATGATGGTAGTAGTCCAATTTTCAGCCATCCATAATCTTTGATGATACGCATACCATAAGTAGCATTCCAGGGAAGGTCTGGTGTACCTGAAATACGTTGTTGTAAGATATATTCTTGAGGTGTATCTGAAGTATGAACAACTTCTGGTGAGTCAGTGTCGTCTGCAGTTCTATGATCGCTGAGAACAAGAGATTGTATAGGAGTAGAAGGACGGTAGAGTTGGAGTTTTTGTCCAGTTACCTGATGCTGAGCAGTTTTATTCACATAATCAATTACAAGATCATTTAACACATCAACACCTATAAGTGCTGCAATATTCTGGGGTAAAGTATCCACTACTATGAATTTGACGGATATGCCAAAAACCGGAATGCTGACTGCATGAGTGCTGGTGAATGTTGTGCTATTAACTGCTTCGAAAGTGATAGGTTTTTCTAGGTGAACACTAGGATGTGTGCCTGAGAGATTATCGGCAACAGTGCTAGAGATAAGAGAATATTGACTTCCTCCATCTAACTGGGCGAAGAAGCCTGCTGATGTCTTGACGTAGGATAATGCTGGTGGAAGAGATTGATCATGAAGAGTGTCGGATGACGCTGTTAAACAAGATTTAGCTTGAAAACTCACCCGTAAGTCTTGTGCTTTGTTAGATGTTGATTGTGAGTTTGAAGAGCTTGTATTGTCTGTAGGTACGGCCTTGTTATCTGATGTATCTGCTGTATGACGGAAAATACAACGATCACCATACCGACAGGTTCCAGTAGATTGATAGAAGCGACATGGAAATTTCTTAGTAAGTGTAACTTGCGAGTCCTTGCTATCTTGGGTTTTTTCGAGCGCTCTAGGCTCTTTCCCATTAGTGGAATTGGGCAAGGTAGACTTAGGAGGGCTAGTACGAGAGAGAATAGCAGCCCTGACAGCTTCGTAAGACTTTTCGCCAGATGCTACCATATCAAAAACCATTTGTCTAACATGATAGGACTGTAAACTAGTTCCTAATTGAGCAATGAGAACTTGATCTGGAATCTGAAAACCTAAAATGTTGAGCTGAGTAACCATGGAGTCGAAACGCTTGACGTGGGAGAACATATCTGCATTATCCTTTTGACGAAAACGAGTCCACTTACTGTATAGATTCCCCAGATCGAACGGACGACATTGAGTTAGTTTCAAATAATCCCATATTTTTGAAGTAGTGCGATCTGGAATCTCACGTTTCACAGACACCCATAAACTAGAATCTATCAAATACTTTAATGTGTGATACGTGTAGGTCTCAAAGGTAGGTGAATCTGGACTAACAAGATCATCTAAAACATACTCAACTTCTATCTTAAATTCAATGAATGAGCGATAATCTGCTAAGCCACGCCATGGTTTGATATTTTTGGCGGCAATTTCACGTTGAACGTCCTGCCGAATATGATATAAGGCAGTTGGCTCGTGTGATAAAGTAGTAGAATGTGATGAATCTGTAGTGATGCTATGAGAAGTGCTATGCGACTTACTAGATATATCAGAAA